TCAGTAGAAAAACTGGAAAGTTCAAAACAACATCGCAAATGGCTGATGCTGGTATCTTTGGCAGATCTCAAAGTGATGTATAAAAAGTTCTGTGAACTGCAGTTTCCAAGTAAGCAGTCTGAAAGTTCTATACTGGAGATAGCCTGGAATTCTTCACGTGTTTGCACTCTTAAGGAAACTGAATTTATCACCTATACTCCTCTTTTCTTTCCTTTCCCCATTAAAAGGGCTACACAACTAAGGAGAAGAAACATCTACCTAAGTCCTAATGAAGTCTTAAGTTTCCCTGATACCATTTTCTCCCCTATGTGAATCACTGTACTGTCTGAGAGCACCGATTTGATTCAAAATTGAATAATTTCTAAATGTTTACAGAAATGTACTGATTAACTAAAAAAAAAAATTCCTTTCCTCTATCCAAGATATTTTACTCACAAATGTGACTTATTTGATTCTCTCTAAGCCACAAAACAGAGCCACACATGTTGGCAACACCACGGTCTCCCCATGGAAGCATGCTCAGGCTAGCAGGGCATGAGAGAATTCTGAAAAACTACTGGTGCAGATACAGGAAAAGCAAAAAGAAAAGAAAATGTTCGCTCTGCACAAAACCAAAGTATTTGGGTTTTATCTGGTTCTTCCACCCTATACCCAACATTTTTGATAACCTCTCAATAGCAAGAAAACAACACCAAAAATTTTATTGCTAGATTGCTACTCCTGAAGAGGGGGATATTTTTATACTGTGATTTATATCATAGAACGGTTTGGGTTGGAAGGGACCTTAAAGATCATCTAGTTCCAACCCCCACCACCATGGGCAGGGACACCTTCCACTAGACCAGGTTGCTCAAAGCCTCATCCAGCCTGGCCTTGAACACTTCCAGGGATGGGGCATCCACAGCTTCTCTGGGCAACCTGTTCCAGTGCCTCACCACTTTATCTGTCGAGAATTTCTTCCTGTTGTCCAACCTAAATCCACCTGCTTTCAATTTAAACCTGTTACTCCTTGTCCTGTGACTTCAGGCCCTTGTAAAAAGTCCCCTTCCATCAATTATTCAATCAATTACCAATTCCTCTATGAAAGATTTGGGTTTGCATTAGGTTTTATCAACACAGTCTGTCAACACTGCAGACTGAATCATCTGATGTCTCGAGTAATGTAAAAACCAAGTAAGTTAAAAGCAACCACATTCACTATAATCTACCTGTAAACCAGCAGAGAGCAAGAGTGGTCATAACCACTGCAATCACTTTTTGCAGTAATTTCCTTGAAAAAAATCAAACAGTACACGATGGGTTGTCAGACAGTACTCTACCAAATTCCCTTTTCCTTACCTCAAGAGTGAAAAGTAGATCCTGTGCTCTATACTCAATATGTTATTACAGTGTATGCAATTTACTATGCAACTGTGAAATACGTGCATCCACTGAACAAAACCAGATCATTATATTTAAGGTAAAAATCTACTTCCGAGGGTGGATGCTCTCTCCTCTCCAAACACGGCAGCTTTTAGCTGCTAACTTGAGTTTATGCCCGTGGTCCAAGACAGACATAACCAACAGACCACACAGTAACAGAGAAACTACTAACTGATGTCGCAATGTTAACCAAGTGCCAATCGGCATGAAGAACAGAGTTTTGTTGAAGCAAAAATTAGTTTGAGCTATTCCTCCTGACTAGTTGCTGTGATTAGGTATAAAAACGTGACATCGGGAATAATGGATAATACAGAAGGAAAACTATCACCCAAACTCAGTTTGATCATCACTCAAATCCCACATTTAATAATCCTAAAACATGACTCCCACACCACCATCTATAGCAGCAACAATGACATTTTTCCAACAAACCTTTTAAAATTAGAATGGTTTGGCTTGGAAGGGACCTAAAAGCCCATCCAGTTCCACCCCCCCTGCCATGGGCAGGGACCCCTTCCACTAGACCAGGTTGCTCAAAGCCTCATCCAGCCTGGCCTTGAACACTTCCAGGGATGGGGCATCCACAGCTTCTCTGGGGAACCTGTTCCAGTGCCTCACCACCCTCTCCCTGAAGAATTTCTTCCTGATATCCAATCTAAACCTCCCCACTTTCAATTTAAACCCGTTACCCCTTGTCTTGTCACTACAGGCCCTTGTAAAAAGTCCCCCCCCAGCTTCCTTGTAGCCCCTTCAGGTACTGGAAGGTGCTATAAGGTCTCCCCCGAGTCTTCTCTTCTCCAGGCTGAACAAGCCCAACTCTCTCAGCCTTTCTCCATAGGAGAGGTGCTCCAGTCCTCTGAGCACTTCGTGGCCTCCTCTGGACTCGCTCCAACCAGTCCACGTCTCTTATGTTGTAGACACCACAGCTGGACGCAGCACTCCAGGTGGGGTCTCACCAGAGCAGAGTACAGGGGCAGAATCCCCTCCCTCGACCTGCTGGCCACTCTTCTCCTGATATAGCCCAGGATACAGTTGGCTTTCTGGGAAATTGAATTTCCTTGAAAGAAGTTACCATTAAGAGTACTTCTAGAAAGTTGAATATTCATGTGCCAATTACAGAACTCTGGGATGAAGATGCACAGACTGAACTTATCCTTAAGAAGAAACAAAGTGGTGTTAGGAACTAAATGCTAACAAACTTTACTTTGGTAACACTAGCTGAAGTTGCAAGTAAAAACAAAGTTATGAAACAGGAGTGATAAAAAAAAAAAGACAGTACCTTCCTAAAAATAAAGTAATGCATTTAAAATTCAGTACTCTTCAAACCTACCAATAAAATACTGGGTTAGGAGCCTATTAATAAAATATTGGAAGAGAACAGGTCAGTAGGTTATTCACTAGACTTCCTGAAAGATGTGCAGCTTCTTCACAAAACACGGTTGACAGAAAAAGAAAATAATGCCAAATGACAAAAGTTAGCTAAGCAAAATGCAACATGGCAGTGATGCTTTAACACCATGAACGACACAGCCTGTATATGCACCATCTGCAAAACAGGTGAACAACGATGGTCACATAATGCTGAGAGCCAGAGAGTGAAGTTAGCGGGTAGTAGAAGAAAGAGTGCAACTTTACAAACAGCATGAAGGCTCGGATGGCTCCTCGCACATGCTGCATATTGCTTGTGTTGGTGGGCATTATTCAGCCATGTAGTTCTACATAGCAAAATCCTTCTGGAGTTAACAGGAGAGAAGGGGGAGAATATCCTAAAAAAATGCAGTCAAACCAGATTCCCACGACTTCTTTCTACCTGCAGTCTGATAGTACAATGCTGAAACTCTTTTGCTTAAAACAACTAAGGGATGACTGAGCAGGACTCAATTAGCACTGCAGAGAAAAATGAAACATCTTACTGGATTACCTATGAATTTACAGATTTTTTTTTTTTTAAATCAGTGATATGGTGAGAGATGAGGCTGAATTCCTCACTGACTTTGAAAGAAACTCCACAGAGTAGCTCTCTGACTTAAGACTCCTGCCACACTGCAACAGGCCACAATCCTGAGGTGCAAAAAAAGAAAATCTGATTATAATATGGCAACTCTGAAAACTGCCACAGCAGCTGACTCGAGAAGGAAGTTACAGCCAAGGAATTTTTTGGGCCTCCTAGCAACATTCTTTGCTGTCATCAGACACCACAGTTGATGCTGCTAAAAGTTGGTGCCTGTGCCTGAACAAGTAGGGGCAAGAAGAAAGGGTGTGAAAATCCTTCTCCTGATTAGTCATGATCTGCCTGGTGCACAATCATCCGGATGGAAAGGAGGAGCAGGAGAGAAAACACAGCTGATTTGACAACAGCAATAGTACCACACCTGACTGCTTTTTAACAGATACCTCTTGTAACACTTCAGTTAGTATTTTCCTGTATTAGCATGAAATGCCACATATATATATATAAACAAGAACAGTTACATAATTCATAAATTGCATGCCATTTCTACAGAGAATTTGTTATATTCAGTAGAATTGTCAGCTCGTGAAACAGAATTCTTACCCTCTTTATTAAAAAATAATCAATATAGCATACTCTTCAAACTTTGTTTTCTCACCTATTTTGTGATATTAACTTTTGAATAAAACTAAAAATTTAAGCGTTTTAAAATTAAGTAGTGATCTACTTTTAAAAAGAGTAACTTCAGTTAATATCAGAATATTAATTAGACCAGTTTCTGCCACTCATTTTTATTAATAAGGTAATTACAACAACCACACTTGTTACCATGAAATAGATTTTCTAAATTTCCCCAATGCATTCAGAATACCTGGAATGGTGCTGATACAATGTTGGTATAGATACTTTATGATGCTTAATACATTAATTCTATTGGCATAATTTAATTAAGACTTAAGTCCCCTGCACTCTTGCTGCATATCAGTTTGGTGGTTATTGAAGCTTTTATATTACAACTACTGACATATTTAGTTATAATAATATGGATGTAGAGAAAAAAGTGAAGTTATCCAAAATAGTCTTCTTGGAACACTTCTGAGAAAAAATGTTTCCTAAAACACAATCTAAAAATTTAGTCTGCTGTTTTCATAGAGCACTTCAAGATTTGTCTGTGTCCAAAAAATTTAAGTCCTAGCTTCATACTTGAGTAAATGTAACGTTAATTATGATGAGGTCAAGAATACTGACATCTACTGTAATTCTCAAGCATCATCCCAGACCATGCCCTTCTGCTGCTTTGTAAAAGCAGGAAAGCATTCTTCTCAGCTGATTATGTCTGCCAAGTAAGAGCTCGGCACACACATCAGTAGCTGTATATAAAAGTCTTAATTTCCATAGGGATTCAGGTCTGAATTCAATGAGTTTAAACTATACTTTTAAAACAAAAAATTTTGCAGTGAAGATTTTCCTGTTCTATTTTTGATACTCAAGTAGCATGAAAGGTTTTCCTACGTAGTATAAAAATGGTCTTGCTATATAAGCTGCTAACTTTATTTTTAGAGGCTCAGTAGTTAATTTTAACAGAAGCCTTTGTTTATTTGTCATTTATCTGCTTTTAAATACTTACAGTGAAAAATACGGAAATCAATGTATGGATGAGAACCTCTTCTCTCTGTTTCAAATCCTGCCCGACTTCTTACTCGCACATCTCCTAGAAACAGGGTCAAGAGTGAAATAAAAGTGTGGAAGAGTGGCAGAGATAAAATGCAAATGAACATAGCCTGGGGGGGTAAAGATTCATGTACTTAATGGATGAGGGTTATTCAAACAATAGGCCTACTTCAATGCTTTTTGGTTTGAAGGTGAAATTCAAAACAAAGTTTGAAGACTTGTTAAACATGCAATCGCATGCTTTCTTGTCAAAGTCTCTCCTGCCTGAGCATACGTTGCCAGAAGCATGTGATAAGCATTCAGATGAAATTAGGAACAGCTTGCTACACCAGTATGGTAAAAATGCACCTTAATATGACAGGAAACAAGAACACTGAAAGTTGAATTGTTCCTCAGTAACACACATAAAACAATAACGTTTTGTAGAGTACAAAAAAGATTCAGCTTCTAGAAATGGTAGCTTTCAGCAAATAAGCTAGTTACAGTATGGTTTTAGAGTACATAATAGAATATTTTTCCACTAGCATTTACTTACTTGTGCTCAGCTGTTTGAATATTACACAAGAGCCTATTAAAATACCAAAACTCAGTATTAAAATTATATCAAACTATTTTGCACTGCAATTAGCTTCAACCTGAATCTTTTAGCATGCTACTTGATTTCTACTTATGCATTTCACCAACTGAAAGCTGATCAGTATACTTTTGTTCGGTATTTGTATGCAGTAATGTTAAGTAGTTCACCGGGATGAAAAGCTTTCACTTAAAAGCCTTTAGCAATTCAAAACTGGACAAAACTTGGAGGATCACATGCAATGGTGTTTCCCTCCTCAAATCCTAACCAAATAAGTGAAACTTAAGATGTGAAAATGGTCTGGTGTCTATTTGTGAAAATCCTTCAAGTGTAGCATTCTCCTCTCCTCAAACACAGCAACTTTCTTCCATATGAATCAAAACTGAGTATTTAACACAAGGAACTAAGACTGATTTTATAAGAGCAAAACCAAAACATCGCTATTTAATTTCCAGCATCTTGAGTGTTTTTTCCTTTTCCTCTCCAACCTGCTAGTTTGTAATGCTGAAGGAGGCAACTTGTCAGAAAACAGCTAAAGATATTGATTAAAACTTCAGTAACATACTTTTAATACTTCACACGTACCTTTCTAGAGATACATGAAGATACACACTAGCATATCTGTAGTGACACACCACATGAAGGTTATCTTGCGAGGCACACTGAAAGGACCACAGATAAGGCGGCCCAGGGGTCCCCAAATAATGAGTCTAAGTTTACGTATCAGTAAAAACATACCAAATACATGTAGCTTTCAGTTATTACCCCTTTTGGTTCTTTGAAAAACTTCACGGAGCTGCATGGGAAAGTAAACCAGTTACTACCTGTAGATACTATTTTTGAAACCACTGACAATGTATTACTTAAAAAGGTTTCAAGCAATCATCTGAGCAGAGTGCAAGAGGTTTGTTTTGTTCCAGGCAATACAGAGGCAGCAAATTGTAGAACTCTTCTGTTAGGCACAAGCAACTGGTGAATCTTATTTAAAAAGTTAAGTCAATAAAAAGGAAAAAAGGGAGGAAATTTTGGAAAAGAGGAGGCAAATACATTAGCAGCTGTGTATGAAAATATCAGTTTACACAGAGGAAAACGAAATTTTCATTACCTGTCATTCATATTTATTTGGAAAATCAGTCATAGCTACAGCTGTGTGAATGAGTTCACCAGATGAATTAAAAGAAAAATAAAAAGGCTTTTTAGTTGAGTTTTTTTTTAAAAAAAAAAAAACACAGAAAAGGTGATATAACTCACAAAAGTTATATTTAGTTTCCAAGGCAGTCTTAACTTTCAAAATTTACAAACCATAACATGAATTAGCAAGTGGTTCCCACCAGTGTACAGCTAGGTTTTGGTGAACAATTTAGTTGTTCAAAGTGCCAATAGGAAAAGTTCACAGAAAAATACCTGAAGAATAACCATGGAATTCTGCAAACAACAAAACAAGCAGATTCATCTGATAAATGACATAGAAAATTTCTCTGCTTTGTTTTTTTGTTTACTAGTACCTAGTCTAACAGCATAGACAGAACAACAGTACACCTGTTACCCTTGAAATGCACACAGTAAAGTGGATTTTGAGTAGTAAAACAAGAAAAACTGTCTACAAGTGAAATGCAGAAGTGCAACTTTTGTTAAGAATCAAGATCTCAATCGATTTTTTTTTTAAGAATACATTAGATTTTTTTTTCTGGAAAAGGTGTCACTTCTACAGGACTGGAATTCATCACAGTACACCCAGCAGAAATTCCTACTGGGCCAAAACAAAGGCAGAAGAGCTGTCTCCATTATCACTGTACAGAAATACTGCATTTCTCAAGATCCCAGATAATAAGTATGCTTGGAAAAAATTGGTACAAGTGGAATTTGAAGCTACCACACACCCACTTGAAGTTTCTATGATTCTATGTATATAGAAACATAAAAAGGAATAGCAAAGTGGCTGCACATTAGTCTTACTGTGCTAGTAGCACATCATTTCATAATCTCTATTGCATATGTATGGTTAGTCCCAAAACATCCAGAAATACTGGACCATTGTTATGCAGCCACTGTTCAGTCAATCTATTGATCTTTGCAGGTCAGAAAAAAAGCACCCACTTCATTGTGCTTCCACACATGACACATTCTCGTCCATTTGCTTGGGTAACCCTGTGACTCTGCAAGGATACAGAATTTCACTTTAAGGCAGAGACATGTTACCATCATAGGTATCTTAAAAAAAACACAAGACATTTCAGATGCAAGACTACTTTTATCAGACAAAAGGACACTAACACGATTCCTTCAAAGAGCAACAGAAGTTGAAGCTCATTATTATGGTAGCTGAAAGATAATTAAAATTCAACACCTAAACCAAAAGAACGTATGAATAGTTTCCATTTATTTAGGCCTTTAAAAAGAAAAAATCCAAGTGGTTACAAAGTCTTTTGAAACCATCAGATTGCACTGTTTGCTTGTAGGTTAATTTCCTGGTAGGGGTGAGGGAGGAGAAGTGGTGGCAAGCTGACAGTTATCTCCAGCGCCTCTTCTTTAGCCACCCTGAAGAGACTCCTCTGTTTCCCTAGGGGAACACATTCAAGTCCAGTATCTTAATTATAGTGGACTTCCAAGAACAATTCTTTTTCCTGAGAGTTTCTCTGAATCCAAAGAATCAAGAGAAAAATTTAGAAAATGTGAAGGCTTCCATTCAAAAATCTGATTTCGGGCACAAACATGACAAAATACCTGCTGGCTGAGTCTGTAACTAGAATTTTTCTCCAGAATAGTTCTATGTGACCAGGATTGCTTGCACGTTTAAGACAAAGGCATACAGGCAGAAACTCAGTTGAAGACTGAATAAATAATGGAAGGAGGAATGTAAGAGGGAGGTTTGCAGCTACAACTGAAAAGGAATCAGGGCTGTAACAAAACTTACCTTGTGACAGATTGTTTCATTCCTAACCCTCTCTCAGGTTCCTGCTCACGCCGCAAGGACAGCTCTCATACTTACGAGGCAGCTGAAATAGCTGACATCCTTGTGCATGAGGGTTACGCAGCACATACTTCATGCTACCCTAATACTCCAGCGTGGCACAGTAACAATGCAGCAGCTGCTTGGGGAGCTGAGGCCTTCTGGAGCAGGGGCAGAAACCTCAGAGATCACAGAGGACAGCTGGGAGCAGAAATTACGACAGCCACCTCAAGGCACACCACCCAAGTCAAAGCCATGAAGCTGTGAAGAGCTGGATTTCCAGAAAGAATTACTGGCTTCATAGATTAAAGCGCCTATTAAATTTGATGGAGAAACAGATGACAGGTCAGCCGAATATGCCGGAATTAAAGCAAAAGGAATATAATACAACAACAGCTATGGAAGAACAGTGTGCACCTGCATCACACAGTAGCTTGCCTCCACTGTTTCCTATGTGAAGTGATCAAAACCTTTAAAGGAGGGTAAAATGCTCCCGTTAATTAGTTGAGGTACATTCTTACTGATACAGTCAGCTTCCCACTCTACATGCACAGTAGCAAAACTTGTAGGCAATATAAAACAACAAGAAAAAGGAACCAGAAAAGCAAAAGCAGAGTAAAATCGAGAATGTATCAAGATTACACAGAAGCACTTACAAGAAATTTTGGGAATTCCTCATAGCTGCTGAGAGAATTAGCTGACTGAGGTGATGCAGAGATATTAGCCCTTCGAAGGTCTTGAAAGAAAAATTCTACAATGCTGCATCTGTATTTTTAAATAGTAAATAAGGCACTTGGGAGTGGCTTAGTGTGTATTTTGGGAATGGTGTATGACAGATGAGTCAGAGTCAATGCTGTTTGTTTATATCAACACTGATGAAGGCAGTTAAGAGTTAGTTGTTTATTTTGTGTGCCCCTAAAATTTGATCTTTTAAATTAAACCTGGAAACACTGCCATACCACAGGAACTTCTATTTACTTGGTGCAAATTGATTTCCACTGGATTGCCATTAGACAGCCTAAACACATTAAAGCAAACAACTCTATGGCTTGCACAACTAAAGAGACACAAAGGGAGATGTCCTAGATACCCTTAGCTTTGTATTTTTGGTCTGCTAAAGTAAACACTTTATCCAGGTACAGTTTAGTAAATATGGTCTGTTTGGAATAACAACCAACCAAGTAAAAGGCAAAACCTCTCATGACTGTGCCTAACTTCCCGCTGTTACAGCTGAGGATTCCTTACAGCTTACTCTGCTGAAGTGTACTAAGATAAATTAAAAAAACCCACCCACACTCAAAACTGTAATGTAAATGCAGTACCTTCACATTTCTTGCAACAAATTCTAATTGAAAAACATTAATACTTTAATCTACTCCGATATGAATGTTTCTACATGCCGATGTGTCCAACTGTTCAGCTTTCAGGCTGGTTTTTTACAGTCCATTTACAAGTACAACAGTAATAAATCTGTAAACAGTTGCTAATTGTACAGTATAGTGTACGTAACATTTGGGAAAACAGAGTGATCACCAACAAGTGAGACAGTAATACAAATTTGACATACCGATTCAAAAATCCAATGAGTAAGTTTTTGTTTGCTTTCCAAGACTGCAGAACAAATGAGATTTTCCCCCCAGTTCGGGTGTATATACCAACAGCCACAGGAAGTCATGCTTTGCTTTCCTCTGGGTTTACTTGAGCATTATCACAAACCCTTCTGCAGAAATGATGGGCCTAACTACTTAATGATACAGTTAAACTTCCAAAGTAGCAAAAGAAATCAGATGATTCTCCCAGCAATTAAGAATAATTTTCTTATAAGCTGAGTTTCTGTCACTAGCAGATTAATTTTAAAAAGATAAAAGGTACTGCAGGCATAAGTCTGGTTTTAATTCAAGCATATCAGTGCATTTTTTTAATAAATTAATACACATTTCCCCTGTTGTGGAATTAAAAGTACTCAATTTGTAGGGTTTTGAAGTGGAAAAAAATTGTATTTTCTCATCGTAGCACAAAATAAATTGTTTTTAAAAGTAGTATCACAAAATCAAGGAAACAAAACTACCTCAGGCCTGAATTTACTTTCAGATTCTTACGAGTAAGGCAGGAAAAAAAAAATTACATTTTGAAGAATTCTAGTGTTCATCATGCAAAAAGGATGATTAAATATGAAATAGGTTTATTCCATTTTCAAGAGTTAAAATAACTATTCCCAACAACTACAACAAAAACCCAGAAGCTTTTTCAATAAACATTTAGAAGCCAGCATCTTGTCCTCCTTTTCTGAACAAGTCTCCAAAGTAATTACATTCTCTTATCAAAAATCCCTCAGTAGACAGTGAGAGAGTATAAACCACTTCATAAACTTAAATCAAAATAATTAAAGAAAAATACTGAGATGCTAAGCCAAAATTGTATTTATAGGTAATACACTAGTATGCCTACATATGTAGGTTATGACTATAAATTCATAGATATCCACACACACTATTAGACATGCATGTAGCTTTAAACTTTAAATTCACAGACAACGCAGTTATGAATTTCTGGGGACTTTAATATGTACAATATACAACTAATTTGAAAAGACTCAGGGCATGAAAAGACACATACTGTCTGATTTAGTTGGAGCCAGTCAAGAATTTATAACCACTTGCTGTTGATGTTCATCGAGCCATGCGAGACATCATGCAAGCATTCATAGTCCATTTCAACACAAAAATCACAGCTCAAGATGGCTTAATTTAAGTGGCATACTTCTGCAGCGAAACAGACTTGGAGGATATACAGTCCCCATGCCATCTGCACCACCAGCATCCTCCAGAAGAGGTGTGGGAAACTCTGAATCCTGCAGCCAGATCTGCAAGAGCATTTTTTCTCCTCCCAAAGACTGACCTCAACTCCTTCTTCTGTGCACTGTCACAGAGGGTCTCCCCCAAAAGCTTGCCCTTCCCAGTACTGTTCTTTCATTTTAATTCAGCTTTACCCTTTATCTAGTTGCTGCTCTGGACACATTCTTCAGTAAGTTGACTACACTACTGGCCCTGTCATACGTCCTTTCCCTTCTCAAGTCATCTTCTAGGATTAGAGACAGAGGTATTGTTTAAAATCATATCATTTTAAGAACACCTTGAGCATTTCATAGCCTCACCACTTAAGTTTCACAAGTGTATGGTAACTCACATAAATGTTCTCTAAGCTACAGTTTTAACCAGAAGGATACCATGCAGAGGTGATAAATTCTAATACAGAGATGACGATCAGTCATAAGTCAGCTGGAAAACTCAATTTCTACCAAACCCATTACATTAATTAGAACATTTTTTTAATATACGAGTAAAACATCTGATACAATGATTAACTCAGAAGAAAAAAATAAAGGCGAACAACCAAAAACCCCAAGTCAACACAAAACAACCCAAACTCTTCTGAAGAATCTAACCAGAATATTATCCAGAAGAAAGGAACCAGTAAGTTTAAAATTTCAACACACAAATATAAAAAAAATAATGATGTTAAATCAATCATAAACATTAGAACTTTGCAATATAGAAACTGGTATGCTTACCTAGCATACGAATGTACAACGCAGTCTGATCAGAGCTGTCATAGGAAATTGCTCCACGTCTCTGAAAGGAAAAAAAAAGGTATATTTTATGCAAATTAGAACCGAATCATGTTTTAACTGCAATGAAAATGAAGTATCAATTGTCCATTGCCAATTCAACTCCCAAAATTAACTTTGGAAATTTGAACACACCTCTTCCAAAAAAAGAAATATATATATACACACACAGACAAAAATTTGGTTCTAGGTGGGAGCAAAGGAAGAACAAGAATCAGCAGTGAAGAGATTATGAAAAACAGGACCAGAGTTTGGAAAAAATATCCCCCCTAAATTTCTTTCCAGATGATCATCAGTCATTCCTCACAGCAAAAAAGGATCCAGGACAAGTTTAAGCAAACACAACAAAATGTGCTCCTCAGACTTCCAGAGTGTAATACTAAAAATAAATACTTGAAGTTCCTGGTCTACTCATTTACTTACTTTCACCTATGGGGTATTTCCAGCTTTCAAAGATAAAAGTAGTTTTAAAACAAGAACTAAAAACTCAAATTACACCATTACTGCACTCATAGGAATTCAACCCATATTCTGCAAGGGCAGAATCATTTTTCATTCCACACAGTACTTTCTGTAGTCAAATCAAGGTACCACTGAAGCAGGATGTAATACATAGAGGTATTTTAGAGAAAACAAGCAAGTTGTATTTCACGTTTGATGATGAAAAGTCTAAAGGAGTCATCAAGCTATCCGTGCACAACATTGAGATACTCCCATATAGGCTGTATTTCTTACCTACCCAAAATATGTAGGTTCCATACATATTCAGCTAATGCGGTAATAGCTATAGCCCAGGAAGTCTCCCACAAGTGTGGCAAACTGGTCCTCTAGTAGCTAAGAACTGGAAAAATGTTCCCATCGTTAAACAACATTGTCATCACATAGTCGTCAAAAGCTCAGCACCACCTAGCACCCAGACTCATGCCTTGCCTTTACTGGGTTTTCACCATCTTTCACCACTTGTCATCCTAGGGCCTTCATTAACGTTTTTACTTAACCCTAGGATCAGAGGATTGCCTTCACAATCAGACTTCAATTTTTCCAGCTGACAACTCTTGTTCTTTAAAAGAAATAAGATTTTGTTGTTAAAAACTCCCATGACCTTTCCCTGTCCAACACAGTTGTTATTTACATGGAAGACAGTGAAGTCCTTGGTGTCACAAAAGGTTATCATAACCCTTTGAGAACTGCTGAACACAGACACCAATAGTTTTTTTTTCCACGTAGCATGAACACCACTACACCAGGGACACACAACCACCTGAAAATGTACACGTTCAAAAAGATAGACCAAAGATTAATAACCTCCACCAGCATGATTGGTACAACTGATGTGTTGATGCCCAACTTAGAAGTTACTCTTAATTGTTTTAGTATTTTTCATGTTAAAACAAGGAAAAAAAAAAAAAAACAAAACACCAACCTTACACCTGCAGTCAGAAAGGTTTTTCCAAAGGTAAGCTTAATTACAGGAATGACCAAAGACCTAGCTCCAAAGGAGTTCCAACTGTAGTAGCTGTTGTAAAGACCGCAAGGAAGAATTCCTGATACAGCACTTTTATGCTGTCTTAGCTTTTATTCTCTATTTCCTCAGCATATCATAAACCATGCAAATAATCCTTCCCTTGAAATATGTTTGTACAGCATTTCTCACAGCAATGCGATTGTCCTGATAGGAAAGGCAGCAATGAATCTCATCAGCCAGAAAATTATGCTGATTTCCTACTATTTTTCAAGTTTCTTCATATAACCTACCTTTGAATTTCAGTAAATCTCAGCTAAATGTATTTTCAGTAGCCTGCAACATTTCACATCACTGACTAGTCACAATCAGTGATGTAATTTAGTCCTAACTTGCAATTTGCACCTGTCTATCACAGATATCTGGACATGTCCAGTACCGTTCTGTAATCTAATACAGGAGAACGCTAAGCATACATGCAGCTAGAACCACCATGCCCAACTGGAGCAGTAGTCTCTGCGAAGGAAAACAATGCGTAAAAATTCACTGAAAAATAAATCCTTTCGATATTCCAGAATATCAAGCATCTTGCTTTCTGAAATCTAAAAGTATTACTTGCTAGATAAAGTAGTACATCCATGTACGATATCAAACACAAAGTATATGATTAAAAACAAACCAATTGATTATACCAAGTGATTTTGTTCTGCAAGGACTCTGAAAGATCTCGTAGGAATCTTTAAACAATCAAATCCTTTTAAAATTACCTTTCAAAGTTCAGTTACCTAAGGAAAAAAAGAGACAACTGATTGTGTAAACCTTACTAATTCAAAAGTAGTAGGTCAATTTCATCTAATTTTACTAAAAGGGTAGAGGTCCTAAAGTATTTCATTCATTGAAATTTCTTAAATAAAATAGGGAAGTGGAAAACACTTATTAGCAGGTTCCACCAAGGGACACATTCAGGGTGGGTCATGAGTGGTCAGACCTCGTACCTTTAGACTAGGCAAATAAGTGAGTACAGATAGTTCGGAGCACTGCAGTGGGCAGCCAGAGACAGAGGAGGGAGCTAACAGTAGGGAGACTTTTAGCAACTTGTGATATGTAAGTAAATTAAATAATACGCTCATCCAGCCACTGATTGCTTTGCGTCATCTCATGATTCAAATCGGTAACCGACTACGTACCACAGGTTGAGGTATATCCCCTATTTTCCCACTTCAAATAATACTGTCAGCATATGAGTTATACCACCCCCTACATTACTTTTTTCTTTTTTTAATTGGTTTTTCTTTTTTTTTTTTTTAGTAATTTAATCTACCCTGCTTGTGGCTCTTCAAGATACTCTGCCCAGATTCCACTTTTTAAATCCAGTAAAGAAAAAGACCAGATTTAATGCCTCAACTTCTACTGAGATGTGAGCTGTTATGTACGGCAGATTTGGAAGCAGAAAGGCAAATGAGTCTTGAAGAACTAAAGTTTCCATAAATCACCCAACAGTACGAGCAATTTAATGGCCAGGATTCTACCCTTAGTGACCTGCAAAAATACCACCTCCCTCACTGCTAATCAAAAATCAAAAAAAATTGTAGCATACACGGCATCAGCCTACCTACAACGTAGGAAGGATATAGACCGGTTGGAGCGAGTCCAGAGGAGGCCACGAAGATGCTCAGAGGGCTGGAGCCCCTCTGCTATGGGGACAGGCTGAGAGAGTTGGGCTTGTTCAGCCTGGAGAAGAGAAGGCTCCGGGGAGACCTTTCCAGTATCTGAAGGGGCTACAGGGAAGCTGGGGGGGACTTTTTACAAGGGCCTGTAGTGACAGGACAAGGGGGAATGGGTTTAAATTGAAAGTGGGGAGGTTTAGATTGGATATCAGGAAGAAGTTCTTCCCAGAGAGGGTGGTGAGGCACTGGAACAGGTTGCCCAGAGAAGCTGTGGATGCCCCATCCCTGGAAGTGCTCAAGGCCAGGCTGGATGAGGCTTTGAGCAACCTGGTCTAGTGGAAGGTGTCCCTGCCCATGGCAGGGGGGGTGGAACTAGATGGTCTTTAAGGCCCCTTCCAACCCAAACCATTCTGTAATTCTATGACACAGACCTTGGCTACAGCATCACGGACACAGCTCGACTCCTGGCACTTCAGAATACCACATTATTGTTAATACTTTTAACTCATTTAGCATAAAAACTTTATTTCTAGATCTCTGCCACATCTTTGGTCTACCTGTTAACATCCGTAAAGCATACTGAACTCCTTGCCCTTCCGTACTCACGTCTAACAAATAAGCATCATTCCAACAGGTAGGTAGTTCTCAAACTGAAGACAACCCCAGTTTCTTTAGGCAGGTTACCTTTTCAAGCACAAGGACAATTTGGTGCAGTGGGAATATCTGCTGAACTCCAAGTGACTCAACAAATTCCTCAAATGATTAGGTGAGGTTCTTAACCACTCTGCTCCTTTCCAGGCATGAGCACAGCCACCCGAACTGGGTGGACTGCTTTGCTTCAGCAGTGAAAGCAAGTGTCAGAAAGATGACTGGGAAGGATTCTTTACACTGGACTCCCACTTCGAAAACCTCACCTTATAACTTGAGTTTCATATTGGAGTGTCATTTTTTCTTATTGTATTGCCCTCTGGAAGAAAAAGTTTTCATTTCTCCCCTCTCTTATCACATCTTCATAGAAAGTGAATGGAAAAAGGTCACACTGAAGTAGAAGATCCATTAATCCTTTAAGAACAACAGTTTTACAAGGACTCCACAAAAATTAAGTGAAGGGAGTATCTACCAAGAGATAGATTTAAGTCAGGTATTTTGGAAAATCTTTCCACAAGAGTGTAGGAAGTCATTAGAGGCCATGGAACAGGAATGGCATGCCAAACCAGCACACAGCTGGATCTTCAAAGGGAAAACACTTGAGGGATGCTATGGAGTACAGCACATGCATGTAACACTTGAAGCACCTGCTGCTGTTTGTGCCAAACACTTTTCCACTGATGTGTCAAGTTTTATCACAAGGACTTCCCAATCCAGTTCAGAGCAGAGCACCAGCATCACTGTTGGGCACATCATTTTGGCAAGTGCCAGCTAGCCAGCTTTTGGGCTGTCAAACGAAACAACTGCTGGTCTCACTCTAAGTGTAGAAACAAACCAGTAGAGCTATTGACCTCCAAAACTCCATACATCCCATCAGAAGGGACTCTCTATGCTTTTTGATGGAGTACAGAACATTTTGCGACTCGGTTCTTTATTCAGAAGCTGGCAAGGAAAAGCCAGGGCAGCACCACAGTCAGGTGTTATTTTACCTACTTGGCTTTTCTGCCCAACAATAAGAGGATTGTTTACAGAAATTGTTAACAAGTTTGGAGAAGTTGTTATATCATGGCAACTGCAATTTACTGGTTACACTGCCTCAAATATACACACTTGGAAACTACTACAGATTCTAAGACAGTTTATCAACTACAAGTCCTTAGAATGACAAACTAATTAGACCAGATTTCTCCAACTATTACTGGATTTCAAAAGTGAGGCTGCCATTTATCCTAATTCTCAGAATCATTTCAGTAATTCAAAGTTCCATACTAATGTAAGATCTACAGTTTTCCACAAGATAACACCAAGATTTTACTCACTAAAGCCCTGGAAAATGTTCTTTCAAAGCACTTAAGTAGCTGTCGTTGAACTCAGACAAGCCACTGCAACACTGTCCTTCTATTATTTTTTAAGTATTTCACTGTTTTTTAAAGCAAGATTTGGAAAGTCTATCAAACCAGTGATAAGAAAATGTATTTAATTTCAAGAAGGCAATACCAATCAGCAATAATACACACACCCCCCTTCAACTGCCACTGAATGTGGTAATTTTACTATTTTCTTCCATATAAAACTATTCCACATCATCATCTCCCAAGATGGATGGCAAGCATTTATAAACTTCGTTATTGGTTGAGTGATAGCTATCAACACTGTCGATAACTACATCTAACAAGCATCTGTAAGGTTTCTTCTCTTATACACCTTAGATGTATATCATGTGGTATAATAAGATTTACCCACATTTTTAATCAACATAAGTACTTCAAGATTTAACAAAAAAAACCCCATACAAAACAAAAGATCGAAGATTGATCAGAAAAGAAAGCATAGTCAAAAGCAGCATAAATTACTTAAGTGAGGACAGAAACAGGCAGGGGTACTATACCTTTAGAGGCTAAGTCAGAATGGCAGAAGGACTCAAAACCAAGAGTGAAATAGGATAATTGGATGAACACAAAAAAAATTCTTTAGAAATGTACTGGTTTTGGCTGGGATAGAGTTAATTTTTTTCACAGGAGCTGGGGTATGGGGCTATGTTTTGTGCTGAAAACAGCACTGATAACACAAGGATGTTTTAATTACTGCTGAGCAGTGCTTACACAAAGCCAAGGCCTTTTCTTCTTTCATCCGGGCCGCTCCCACCAGCGAACAGGCTGGGGCTTCACAAGAAGCTGGGAGGGGACACAGCTGGGACAGCTGAGCCCAACTGACCAAAGGGATGTTCCACACCATATGACATCATGGGCAGCATAGAAAGCTGGGGGAAGAAGGAGGAAGGGGCGGGCGGGCAGAGTGATGGTGTTTGTCTTCCCAAGTAACCATTACGTGTGACGGAGCCCTGCTTTCCTGGGGATGGCTGAGCACCTGCCTGCCGATGGGAAGCAGGTAATGAATTCCTTGGTCTGCTTTGCTTGAGTGCATGGCTTTGCCTTTACCTACTAAACTGTCTTACCTCAACCCATGAGTTTTCTCACTTTTACCCTTCCAATTCCCTCCCACATTCCACTGCAGGGAGAGCGGGCAAGCAGTTGTGTGGAGCTTGGTTGCTGGCTGAGGTTAAACCATGACAAAGAAAAACCACGAATAACAGGTTTTATGCTTAACTGTATTACATCAGCTACCCAGAATTCCTATTTTTCCCACCTTAACACAATCTTTGACCAAACTGAATTACAGACATAACTAAGCAGGTTTTTTTATGTCAAGTTTCAGAAAACCAGCAATTCAATAGCATACCAGTAAACTGCAGATGACTTACTAGACTAGCATGCTGTAAAACTTTGACATTTAGAATCTGTCTTGAGTCACAAGTGAACATCCATTAGGGTATCCTGGTCTCTTCCTTGATGTGACAAAAGTTATCACAAGTGCCAGCAACTAAGCCTGACCAGTTTTGGTTTTAATAAATTTAGAACTGTGTTATTGGCAATGTACATGCACAGATACCTGGCAAAGCTTTTTTCCACAGCAAGTTCATATTCATGTTTGCTCAGATTCTCATGCTAATTGTACAAAAATGTTAAAATTGTATATTATTTTTTAAAAATCTCTATATAAATGCATGAACTCCAGTGGCTTTTCTCTTTCATTTTCCTCTCATTCTCTCCAATAATTCTGGTCCTCCTTCAAAATCCTGAACTTAAATTTATTCCTCCTTTTGGAGTTAATTCCAGGTTAAGCAGCAAGCTATGCTGAGAAGAGCCTGGTCTCATCTCCAGGCACCAATCCCACCTACATTTACTATCACAGAATACATTACGGGAACACTGACGTCCTTTAGAATGAGAGAGAGAGAGAGAGTGGGAACTCCTGATTTTCTCTAACACGAGCACACACTTTTCAAGGCACAAGCACCTCAAATGGAAAGGCCACAAAGCAAGTGAAGGAGCTGGTATTTCACCTAAGCAAACAGAACGGGTATTTCCACTACTGTAACCCTGAAATCAACAATACAAAAAGGATATCCTGTTCAGGAAGCAAAACACGCTCATTTGTATTATTCTCACTATGTCTAAAATTATTTTTCCTTATTTTCACGAAACCCTTACAGCGCTATAAAACTGAAGCGCTGTGAGCAAAGGGGGCAAGCAAGCCCCTGCCATTCAGAAGCTATTTCAGATCCCTCTTCCCCGACTCCTAACTGGCACTGCTACAAACACACTCTTCCCACTTCAAGGCAGGCAAAAGTCGAGAGCTACAAAATCATGTAGGAACACTTAAGAAACACAATCCTAAATGACGAATGATGTGTTTCCAAAACAGATTAGGTTAGAAAAAAGAAAACTAAGTACCCGAAGTTCTTAATGACTTGTTTTCTCTCAGGCTACTAATAAACCCAGTTAGTCAAAACAGAATAATAAAATGGCCTACCTTAGAAGTAATCCATCTGATAAGGATCAGACCTAAACACCAGATCAATGCAATTCCCATTGGATCACCCTGATGACCTGAAGCATAATCTCCTCCCCGATCCCGGCCAGCGCTGAAAGCTGCGTGAGAGTCCCAGGGCCCGGGAAGCAGCGGTGAGGCAGAAGGCGGGCAGGCGGGCGCTGCCGACAGCTGCACCAAGGCTGCCGTCACCTGACGGCCCAGCAATTCGCCCCGCGTGAGCCTGCTCCCTCTCACTGCCAGCTCCACGCTCAGACACTGTTACGACCAGAGGACGCGACAAACAGTAAAACCTTACTACATTTCCTACAGAAACACTAAAGGAAACGAAAAACGATGATAAGGTGCTTTTATAACACATATTCTAACCCTGCTAGACTATAGAATCAGCCTCCAGTACTTGCACCACCTGAGCCAATTCAGGATACTGCCTTGCTTTTAAATGCTATGAGGAGCCAGTTTCCATCAGGTTTCACTGTAGCCGATACCAAACAAGTTCCTTTCATCTCTGCCCGGAGAGCTGCTATGAGCCAAACTCCAAAACTTATTTCAAGGCCGCTTTTATAGTGACTTACTATAAATACTGTCAATGAAAGCAAGTTAGTGCACTGAGTACACAACTGTTGAAACCAATCACAGTTCTCTAATCTCTTTTGTCCACTGAACACCAAGCCACCCTTCATACTGCCTTTCCAGCCACACACACTCATGCCTGAACCGGCATGTTGCTTCGGTTCATTGCTCCAAGGGCTGAACTTGCCTGCAATCCCCCTCTCCCGCCCCGGCACTTCCCAGGGTTGGAAAGCAGACCAACTTCCTCCAAGAGCACCGATTACGCAGCCAAGCAGTCCTATATATGTGGTGGAGCTTTGAGGGGCACTTTAAACTTTTGCCATTTTAAGCTGACAGAAAGGTTTCGTTTCAGAAATACAAAGAAATCTCAAATAGTTTGGGAAAAAAGTAACCACAGAGGGGAAAAAAGGAACAGAGTCAGGGGGGATACTGTGGAGTTTAAAAAGGTGAGGTTGCTTAATTGAAAAGGAAATTATATGAAGATTTTGCTCTTCCTATAATTGAATTTTTTATTATAAGATCATATTGCAAATTCTCATATGTGCACAAGATACAAAAGTGAGCACAGATTACCAAAGGAGTAACTTTAGCACTAAGAAACGAATTTCCTCCTATCCACATGAAAAGGGGACACATACCACAATGGATTTTTACTGAATGAAGGAGAAGGCTCAGTAACAAGGATAAGGCTCTTCGTTATTTTATAAGATGATTCCTAATATTTGTGCGGACATGATTTTGGTACCAGGGTTACTCTAGCACCATTACATACCAAACATATATCTTCTGCTCTCTCCCCTCCCCACGCCCCTGAAAACCAGTCAGACAAAAAAAAAGGCAAGAACATTCACAATGGACCTTTTGGTACCTCAGTTAGCGAGTAAAGTGCTTATCTACAGATCTGTCAAGTTCCACTCAAAATGCAAACTGTCACAGAGATAGATTTAAAAACACTGCCAACTCCAAACAGTCGGTAAGGTTAAGGCACTCTGACAATTAGTCATCACCAGTCTGAAGTTACTACAAAAAAAAATACCACCACAATAAATGGTATTGGGCTACATCTGCATTAGCAGATCAAAACACAGCTGCTGCTGAGGTCTTTACACCTATACTATATATACAGAGGGATCTGTATCTGCAGAGAGATATGCACAGGCCAGATCAATGGGCTGAGGCCAACAGTGTGAGGTTCAACAAGGCCAAGTGCTGGGTCCTACGCTTGGGTCACAACAGCCCCACGTGACACCTGGGGACAAGTGCCTGGAAAGCTGCACAGCAGAAAAAGACCTGGGGGTGTTGGTTGACAGCTGGCGGGATATGAGCCAGCAGCGTGGCCAAGAAGGCCAACGGCATCCCGGCCTGCGTCAGGAACTGTGTGACCAGCAGGACGATGGAAGTGACTGCCCCCTGTACTGGGCACTGGTGAGGCCGCAGCTCAAACGCCGTGTTCAGTTTTGGGCCCCTCACTGCGAGACAGACACTGAGGTGCTGGAGCGTGTCCAGAGAAGGGCAACGGAGCTGAAGAAGGGTCTGGAGCACAAGTCCTGTGAGGAGCAGCTGAGGGAACTGGGGTTGTTTAGCCTGGAGAAGAGGAGGCTCAGGGAGACCTGATCGCTCTCTGCAACTACCTAAAGGGAGGTTGCAGAGAGGTGGGTGTTGGTCTCCTCTCCCAAGTGAGAAGTGACAGGACAAGAGGAAATGACCTCGAGTTGCACCCGTGGAGATTTAGATCGGATATTAGGAAAACTTTCTTCACCGCAAGGGTTGTCAGGAACTATGACTGGGCTGCCAAGGGAAGTGTTGGAGTCGTCATCCCTGAAGGTATTTCAAAGACATAGATGTAGATGTAGGCATAGATGTGGTGCTTTGGGACATGGTTTAGTGGTGGACTTGGCAGTGTTAGGTTAACCATTGGACCTGATGATGTTATGGATCTTTTCCAACCTAAATGATTCTATGATTCTGTATGAAGCCCAGGAGGGTTTTTTTGGAGGTCATATTTACTCAGACTTCCTAGACCGGACCCTACCACAGGAGGTTCAATACCGCCAAAAGTGACCAATAACTGGCCAAATCTCTACAACCGTATCAAGGATTAGAGTACATGTGGTGCAAGGAGTGGAATGGCTTAGTTTCTTTTGAAAGGAGCCTAGTTAGCACATACCAAAGCCACTCTGGAAAACAAACAAAATAGGCATGATAAACAGGGACAATAGGGTGATTTACTCCAAGACTGAACTCTCCTCCAAATAAAACTCTACCACAAAGACAGCCTCACACTCTTTGTAAGATCAAGCATTTCTCTCCGTCACCACTATTTGCAATCCCTGATCAGCCTTCTCTGTTTTCCTGTTTCGAAACACATGAAGATGTTCTTGGAGTGTGTGGATGGTCTTATCCCAGGTGCCTGGAGCAAGCCTTTCTTCCATTGATATCAGACACACATTATCTTAGAAAGCCTAGTGACACAAAGTAATTGCCCTTTCCTCTTTCGTCTTCCAATAGTAAATGGTTTAATTAGTTACCCTTTTCTTACTGACAGTTTTCCTTAAAACTATTGTCTCATGCATAAGTTTTAATACCAGAACACAGAAATAAATTATTTGCCTCTCTGTTAAGCATCTCTCTACAGCATTATTTATTTTAACTATGGCTTGAAAAGGGAAAGACTGTTTCAGAAATATGATTCCAAATCTAGGGACAAAGGAAGACCTGGAAGTGACCTGGTTTGTATGAGAAATCAACAAAGAAGCTAAAGTGTCACTTCTGGGGAAATACTGCCTTGAATAACACCATTAACAATTCTAAGGTGAAGGTGAAATAGATTAGGTTTTACAAATATATGAAAGACATTATTCAAAGTCATTAGCAAGAATGGTAAAGCCTCAGGTACAAGACTTCTTAAAATAAGATAACACTAAATTCCCTATGTGTGATAACTTACTACCTACTGTACTACCTAAGTTCTGGGAGCACTATCAGTGACCCTTGGGCCGTGGACACCACCACTAGTCTCAGCTTCACCTTGAAAAGAACGAGCACTCTAAAAAGAACAGGTATGATATATTGCAATTTTTTTTTTTTTTAAATCACGGAGGTTCCTATGGCTGTTTAGTATTCTTTATTCTCTTTTTCTTCCCTGCTTTTTAGCAGATTCTTTTTCAGTTCTTCTAAAATTATTTTCCCAATGCATGCAGAGATACTATGTTTGATAAGGCAAGATTTCCAGTACTTAACACTCAAATATAGCATACAAGTCATTATCTAGTTCCTCTGTACTTACCATCAGCTCAAATGTGCAAGTACTCTTACTGTTTCCAAACAAAGAAACATAAATATCCCAATGACTGCAATGCAAACTTAATGGTATCTGGCACTGTAGATGCATCTAAGCAGTCAAGGGCACGTTTTGGTACAATTTTTGCATTTGCTAAGTAAACCTTTCTGTGTAATTCCATATAAGACAAGAATTCATTATCAATAGAGCAGAAAGCACCCGGGGTCTTACAACAGTTATTACAAAGATTCCACACCAAGGAATTTGTTAAAGATACCAGTTTGCTCTCATTGTGAAACTGGCATCACATGGGACCAGCTCCTAATGATTCAAAGTAGCGTCCCATTAATATGCCACCGCGAGCTGCAAGGATCCAATTATTTCCATATACGCTCCTAGAGCTCCGCAAGGCTCCACATGAAAACTCATTATTTCCTATTAGTGTAGTCTGTTGTGTGAAGTACCAAGTACAAGTTCCCAGCTTTACTTGTACATTTCTAAATACCCATCTGTTCCTATCCTTTTTTTTTTTTAATAATTTTCAGCAGTCCTGAAGAATGACTCAGTGTTGCCCTACAAACCTCCATAGCTACTCTATCTACAGAAGTGTCTTCAAATACTCCCTCAAAAAAACATCTCAGTAACACCTACAGGAAATCCAGAGTTGAAGCAACAGCACCATATTTCACAGACATTATTTGGTCTCATAGGATTCTCCTGTTTAAATGCATCAGGGCCTCCCGGACCTCCATCACCATGTGAGTTTTTATGCAGAAGTTCGAGGCCTGTTGCTAATCACTCCTACTTTCCAGAATGACCCAATTTCGCATGCATGCACTTGTACTCCTGGCCCAGAAATGAGGTCTCTGTGGAGTCTCTCCTTTGCCCTTCAAACACCCCCTCCCAGAACAGGCACAGAACAGTGGTTTGTGGCAAACTGATTTCTAGGACGCATTTCTGCCTGGCGCAGGGCTCGTATGGACCGATCAGGGAACCCCAATGTATTTATATTAACAGCATGTAAAGACAGCAGAGGAATAAGCCCAGCATTTACCAATTCATCAGCATAGTGAAAAAAATCCACAGTTCTGAACTCATTTCCATCTTTTCTCCCTGTCTCATTATCTATCATGTGTATCTATCTATCATCTCCCCAGCAGACTCCACTCACAAAGAATAATTAAATAGT